TAGTGTTAATGTTTTAAATAAATACGAACATCATAATACTTGGTTAGGTGTTAGAGGTAGAAAATCACAATATGACTCTGCACCAAACGAATGGCCCGTCTCTTATCATGCTACTGGTAGCATTAATGGTAAATCGATGGCGAATGCGGGTTATGATGCCATTAAAGGAAAGAATAAATCAAGAAAAGGATTTTTAAGCTGCCTTTTGGGTTGCTTTTGTTGTAAATTGAACAATAAAAAGAAACTTCAATTTGAATTTGAAAATGGTGTTTATACAACACCTGATGTTAAACTTGCTGAACAATTTGCTACTAGGTTTAGTTACGAAGGAGAATCTTATTTAGTGATGTTTCAGAATAGAGTTAATCCCAAGACTTTGATTAAAGTTGGTAAATACTGGGTATTACCAAAAACTGAAGACGTTAGAACGTATGGTATTTGTATAAAGACAGATCCGTACGGAGGAAAATTCTAGGTGACGTAATTAGTAAAATTTGTACCATTTCACACAGTACTGCAGTACATAGTAAATATCGATTTATTCTAATCATTCATTTTTGTACCAATATGTTTAATTACATTTCACAAGATGTTTTTTTTGTTTAATTTATTTGTGTTGAGTTTCGTAATACCATTTTTGTAATTAAAGGATTTATACAGTATTTATAATTATTATATTTTCTTTTATATAAATAAAGCATTCATTCATTCATTCTCTTAATATAAAGAAAATCCTTGTCCGGTTTATGTCCAGTTTAAACTTACAAATTATAAACTCCCACACTTATCGTAATAAATTTCTAAAAGTGTATCATTATTTAGATGATGTAAATGTTGCAAAAGGCAAACCGACTAATCTACCGGACTTAGATCTGATAAATCTCTGATAAATCTCTGATAAATCCAAGGCTGGTTTTGCATTAATTGTAGAAATTAACACTCAACTTTATAAATATGTGTAATCACTTGTACTGTATGTACTCTTGCTGGGCAATGTTTGGAATAAGTCT